TGGTGACCACACGTGGCTTTGCATTAGGTGGGAACATGGGGACGGGCTTGCTTGTCAGAGAGAGACGTTGCTTTGGCAGTTTCTCCAAGCTGTTTCACCAGTTTGCACTCCCATCAGTAGTAGTGTGTGAGAGTTGCAGTTGTCCCAAGTCCTTGCCAACACTTGGTATTATGAGTCTTTCTCGTTAGTGTAGGATTTATTGTATTTTTAAGGAGTTATTGGTATGGTAGCTTCCAACAAGGAGAAGAAATGCAAGAAATGTCAGCTGTGCTCACCGAATCGCTGGTGGAGGCTGGGGCTCTGGAAACAGGATTTCTCATTCTCCAAGTATGAGGGGAGCTTTGCCGGAAGCATGAGCTCCCGAGGAGCCTTTGGCCCCTCTGTTTCCTGCATGTGCCCTGTGAGGACAGCACGAGCCATCCCCAGAGCTTAGGTGTCCCTCACTTAGTGCTGTCCGCGCCCAGTGCAGGCTCAGCTGCAGCCTCTCCAGTGCTGCCTTTGCTTCCCGGACGAGGAAATGGAAGTTTCCTGACCTCGTTGAACGGGCCGGGCCCGTTGTAGAAGCAAAGCAGCCGTCTCTATCACAGGCTCTGACCATGCTGCACAGGCCCCGGGAGCAGATTACCCCTCAGGCCCAATGGCAGGGTCACTCTGATTTATTTTTTAACAAACTAAACGGAGCCCGAGGCTGAGAGGTGCTGCCCACACAGCTGTCAGGCTGGTGAGCAGGCGGCAGGCCCTCGGCCTCTCCCCCAGCTGGAGTTCTGACTGCTGTGCTCCCCTGGAGCTGCTGAGGTGGAAGAGCACTTGGAAGGACGCAGCGGGGCACAGGCCACTGGGCCAGCTGTGGGCAGGAACCGGAAGGAGGAGGCGGGGACAGAGGGGCAGCTGGGCCCTGAGGCTGGACTGCAGCAGACCAGACTGCTGGAGGCTGGAGGCTGGAGGTGGGGACAAAAGGCAGCGCAGCGGGCTGATGGGTCCAGGGCTCCACCCACTGTCTGCCAGCCTGGGAGACCACACCCTGTGCCCTCAAGTGGTGCTGGCTTTGGGGAAGAGGAGCGAGTGGTCAGCCCTGGCCAGCTCAGGACAACTTGGGCACCCCCGCCGAGCCAGACACGGGGCCCGCAGAGGTCAAGGGCTGAGTGGGGCGCAGGATGGGCAGCGGCAGGGACAGGAACCTCAGCTCAGGACCCAGGGCGGAGGACCAGCTCGACAGCCCTGGGCTGACCCGGGTGCCAGCACTTGCCAGCTGCGTGGGCTCAGCAGAAGTCCTTCTGTCATGAGGTCTCCGTTTCCACAGAGCCCTCGTGATGCGGTTGCCATGCAAAGGAGCTCCACGGTGGCACTCCTGATGCTGCCCCCGAGGCACCAGACCCCAGTCTGCTTTGAGGCCCAACAGAGGGGCTGAAGTGGGCACCGGGGCTCAGGCCTGTCATCCCAGCACTCTGGGAGGCTGAGGCAGGAGGATCACAAGTTCCAGCCCAGCCTGGGCACCTTAGGGAATTAGCAGGACCCCACTTCAAATAAAAAGGGCCGGGGAGACAGCTCAGTGAAGGCCCTGGGTTCCATCCCCAGCACTGAAAAAGAAAGAGGAGGGGCTACACGTAAGACACGGGCCCGGCCCTGGGGAGACCCATGTTTCCAGAAACCGGAGCGGCGCTGTCCTGGGAGTGAGGCAGGAGAGCAAAGCACGGGAAGGGCCCAGAGCCCGACCTTGGGTCCCACGCTCGCTTGGGATCAGCCCTGTGAACAGCGCCGGGGAGGCCTCTGGTCAGAAAACTGTCGGCTCCTCTTGTCCCCTGCCAGGGGACCAAGGCCCCTGAGCCCAGCCCCGTGGCTTTATGGAGGAAGGGAGTGCAGGTTGGACAGGGTGGTCCGCAGGCCATCCGTGCCCGGCGTGAACCCAGCCAGGCTCAGGAGCAGGAACCCAGGCCTGTGCCGCCCTTAGGGGAAGGTGTCGCCTCCCTGTGTGCGGCACCAGGCACCAGGCGGGCTGACAAGGACAGGCTCTGCCCACTGTTGTCACTGGTCCTCCCAGAAGGCAGGGCCGCCGGGAATCCCTTTCTCCCCTCCTTTGCCTCGGGGTGGGGCGAGCCTTCCCACCTGTGTCGTGGGGCCTCCCGTGTCACCTTCAGCCTCTGCTGTCTCGGGCCCCTAGGTTTGGGCTGCCGCTGCTGCTTTTGTGGTCATTTTCTCCGTGCCCGCCGATGATGCTGCTGCTAGCTCTGGCGGCTGGCATTTGCATCCTGCCCAGGCAAACGAGCTGAGGTGGGAAGCGGGGACCAGCAGCTGCCCGCCCAGCCACTCGCTCCTGGGAGACCTGCCTGGTACAGCCCGGCTCGGCAGTACAGGGCCCTTCCCCTGGGTGCCCGCTCCCTGGGAGCCGAGCGGGATTAGAGCCGTGTGGAAACCCTCCAGTGCAGGTGGCTGGAGCACATGCCAGCCTGCTCCTCCGAGGCACTGCGGTGCGGGCACTGCTGTGGTCATGCCACCGAGGCCACGTGTGGGATGAGCCGCTGCAGGTTCACGGTGAGGGGCTGTGCTGGGCGACTGCTCCACGTCCCAGGCAGGGTGCGGCTGAGCCCTGGCAGAGTCACAAGGGCCAGGGGCCGAGGGGACTTGCCGCTATTTTCAGTTAACTTACATCACTTTAAGTAGCCACATGTGACCCGTGGCTGTTGGACAGTGCAGCTTCGGAGAATGGGGAGAAAATAATCTGGACTTCTGGGTATATTTTCATCTAAAAAGTAAATTAACTGCCAGGTGTGGTGACACACCTGTAATCCCAGGTGTGTAATCCTCAGGAGGCTGAGGCAGGAGCATCACTGTGAGTTTAAGGCCAGCCTGGGCTACATAGTGAGTTTGAGTTCAAGCCTAGCCTGGAGCAGAGTGAGATCCTGCCTCAAGAAGCATGGATACATATATACATACAAACAAACATAAATTTTGGCCAGGCATGGGGGTGCAGGCCTGTGATCCCAGCACTTGGAGGCTGAGGCAGGAGGATGCCAAGTTCCACCATAGCCTGGATAACTTAGTGAGACAGTATCTCAATAAATAAATAAATAAATAAATAAATAAATAAATAAATAACTGGGACTACAGCTCAGCTTGAAGGCCCTCGGTTTGATCCCCAGTACTGAAACAAAATTAATCATCTGAAACATTCAGTGACCCAGGGACCCTTGCTGCCTGAGCCTCTGGGAGTGACGGTGTCATGTGGACGTGCAGGTGTCCTGGGGAGGAGCCTGTGGTCACAGCATGGACAGCAGCTCTTAGTGTCCCCTCCCTCCTGTGGATAGCTGAGTGCTTCTGTCCTCCTGGTTTTCGGGGAAACGAGTCCTGGCGAAGCGGAGTGCAGGGGACACTCTCCCGCCCGGGCCGAAGACTGACATCACCATGCCAGAGGAAGCGGAGGACAGCAAAGGCCATCGGTCCTCTCTGTGAACTCAGCATTCACTCTGCAGATTAAAGCCACGGCCCGTTGTGGAGTCCCACTCGGCCACAGAGGGCAGAAGAGCCAAGCCCTTGGAGGTGGCCGCTCACGGCCCTGTGGCCGGCATCACCTGCCGGGGCCGGAAACATCAGTGCTAAGGGTGTCAGGTCAGGGTGGGGAGACACTGGCCCTGGAAAGCAGGACAGCGTCCGGCATCTCTCGGGTCCCAGGTAACCAACGGCGCATCCCACACATGCACTGAACTCTGTGATGAATTTCCAGAAACGACTTCCGAGGTTTCCAGCGTGGCAGCAGTCGTAGTCAAGCACCAGTGAGGAAACGCACCCATGTCCCACAGGGCTGGAATCCCTGGAGTCCACAAGATAACAGGGGCAAAGGAAAGCGCATTCCTTTGTCGAAGAACGCTGCTGCAAGCCAGACCCAAGTGCCGCCTTTCAACCTATTTTAAAACCATGGCACCGAGAGTTTCCACCTAGCCATCACCTTGAGCCCTCACATCCGCCCTTCCCCATGGAACCAGGAGACGAGTGTCAGCACAGTCCTTTGTCTCCAGGGAGGGTCTCGAGTCTTCCTCTTCAGGTTTCTGTCTCCTCGGGCTCCCACAGGCCACTTGGCTTGTGTTGTATTCATCAGCTTTGCGTCACTGGGACCAACGCCTGACCTACAACTGCAAGGAGAAGGGTTTCGTGGGCTCACGGTTTCAGAGGGTTCAGTTTATGGCCGGCTGTGTCCAAGGCAGAGACATCTCGTGGTGGAAGGGTGTGGGGACGGCAGCTGCTCGCCTCATGGCAGCCAGAAGCAGAAGGGGAAAGAGCAGTGGCACTGCCTGGGACACACTTCCTCCCGAGGGTCACATCTCCAACAGCTTGCTCAGCTGGGCTCATCAGAGGATGGCCCTGTTGGTGAGGTTAGTGGCCCACGGTCGAATCACCTTGGACATCTCTGACGCAGCCATCATGGGGCCCCTCGGTTCCCCATCTAGACAGACAGACTGCCTCTGTCTCTCGTGACCTGATGCTCTCGAAGAGTACTAAGCAGTTGTTTTTCCGGGTGCCATTCCCTTGGGGGACTGTCGGGGTGCCTTGCAGGAGTCAGTCGAGGTTGTGCCTCCCAGGCATGGAAGGGACACCAGGGGCTGCCTGGCTTCTCTGTGGGGGTGTGTCTCAGAGCCACTGAGCGACCCACTCCTGGTGAGGACCCTGGCCAGCTTCCTCCTGCAGTTTCCAGTTCCCACCCAGACTCAACAAGTGTCGGGGGGGCGCTGAGGCCCTGCCAGCCTCCCTTCCCGATCAAGGTGGATGAGGCCTCAGTGTGTCCTCACTCGGGCATTTACTGTATCCTGGCTCAAAATTAAATTTTTAAAAGATCTGTTGTCCCCTGTATCTCTAAAGAAAGAGATTACAGAAAATACATTAACAATAAATGGTTTATTTATTAAAATAAATATCACACTGGGTGTGATGGCACACATCTGTAATCTTGGCACTCGGGAGGCTGAGGCAGGAGGATTGCCATGAGTTCGAGGCAAGCCTGGGCTCCATACTGAGTTCAAGTCCAGCCTGAACTACATAGTGAGACCCTGTATCAAAAATAAATAAATAAATAAATGTATGTCAGTTGGAAAAATTATAACCTACCCCATGGACTGAAGAGAGAGCCATTGCCAGTACAGATAAAACCAGCCATGAAAACACAGGACATTTATAATACTTTGTAATGTAATATTTATAACACTTTGTGGAGAATGACTATAAAAATACTGTGTACCACAAAGGATGGCTCCAGTTAAATTATAGCAGGTAGTTAAAAGTGTCTTGGACTTGAAGATGAATTAGGCAGTTTTCTTTTTTAAATAAAAATAATAGTTCAAATTTTGGGACCCGTCACTGGGAAAATAAATGGCTGTCAGAAATAGCTTCTCGGTAGATATTTTAAAAGTAACACTGCTAATTCCTACCTTCAAGATAAAGGTGACTTTAAAAATAATGAGTGAGAAATTAATATCTTTCAGAGAGACACTTGAAAGCCTTCTGGAAAGAGAGAGTAGAGTTTTTGTCATCAACCAAAAGAATGAGTGTCCTGGCCATTGGCTTTAAGAAGTAGAGGAGTCACTCTCTGTCCAATCAGCAAGCTTCCCAATACAAGGCCCTGATTCTGCTTCTTAGCAAGTCACAAGGCGATGCCTTCCAGTGAATTTGCAGGAACAACTAATTGGTAGCAGCAAAGATGCGAAGTTTCCTGGCTGAGTCAACCAGCGATGTCTCCCTCGGCCAGAGCTGAGCCTGGGACACGAGCCCCAGGAGCCTGGCTCTCCCTGATGGCCCTGACCTGTCCCACTGTGAAAGCCAAGGGCCTGGTTAGCTGAACTTGGGGTCTTAGTGAACATCTTCTAGTAATTTTGACTTTGCCAGAAGCCAGGAGTCAACAGTGCCAGATCCAGATGAGGACATGGCGTCATGTTTTGCCAGCTGCTTTCTGTTGGGTGGCGCTCGGCAGCAGCAGTCACTGTATCTTTATCACACCTGGTGAAGACCCTCAGGAGAGAGGACTCCAGAGCCGCTGCAGGAAGTGGCAGGGACCATGGGTGAGTGTGCTCAAAGTGAGGGGGTATTTGAGGGGGATTCATGGCAGTGTGTCTTAAAATTTCAAGCATTCACATGTCAGTCCTACCTCACATGCTTTATAGTGCATGCCATGGTGGCCTGGTGGCGTCTGTGCGTAGAGAGGTCTTCTTGCACACCCTCCCTGACCGGTGGCCGTGAGACTGAGATCTGCACAGGCTGCTCTGAGGGCTACAAGCCCGCCCTAGACTCAGGTGTCTCAGGTGGCTTCAGCCTTGGCTCTCCTTGAGTTCCCATGGCAACCGGATGCAGGTAAGAGGTGTTTGCAAGGTGGTGGTTGGGTCCTGTGTTCAGCTGGGAAACCTGAGACTGAGGAGTGAAGAACACGCAGCAGTTCAAAGCAGAAGGGATTTGCCAGGGTGAAGGCTGGGTTCTCACTGCCCAGGCGCATGGGACTGGGAGCTTCCTGGGGTGCAGGAAGGCTCCAAGGAGCCGTTCCCTCTGAGGGGCTGCGACTGATCCCAAGGCTGTCTTCAGCCCTAAGGAGCATGTGTCCGGCAGATGGAATCAGCCCGGGGGCTTGTGCAACCAGAAATTGTAAATTCACACAAGACAGTGCAGATGCTCTAGACCCTCCGGGCCACTGGACCACAAAGCGGGTGCCCGGCCAGCTGCTAGTGTCCTTCGGGGCCCTTTCCATCCTGGGGAAGGGGGGACCCCCTCCATGCTCTGAGGGTCCTCAGTGCCGCTCCTGCCGCCTGGCGCAGGCCCCACAAGAGCCACCAGGGGGTCCCGGAGCTGTGGGGCAGGCTCACCTCAGTGCAGGATCCGAGGCCTCAGCGGCCACAGCTCCTGGGAGCCTGGGCTCCTCTGTGAGGCTCACACCTGGCTCGCCCTGCTCCCGCTGTCCTGAGCCCATCCTGCCCGCTCCTCTCCTCCCTGCTTCAGGTGAAGGGGACTGCATCTGCTTCCTCTCACCTCAGCCTTTGCTTTCTACAGCCGTCCCAGTTTAACAGGAATAATACCGACTGGGAGCCTGGCCCACCTCATCCTGGGCCCTGGCTGCTCTGACCCCCACCTGTCAATCCTGACACTGGCCCCGCTCCAGCCGGTGGGGAGGGCACGGGTGGCCCCAGGGCATGCAGAGAGCCGGTGCAGACGGCAGGGCAGGGGTGGCAGGACCCGAGAACACAGCTGGCAGCAAGAGCTTCAGCTCCCTCCATGGGCCACACACCCCAGGCCGGCTGCTTCGAGGGGACAGCGGTGCCGGAGAGGAGCCCATGTGTGTGACTTTACTTCCCCTGGCAGTTTCGCCTGAAAAGACCTCAAGGGCGACCCGAGTAGCCTGGGGACTTCCCGGAAGGTCTCCTCAGCCCAGGGTCTCGGGAAGTCTTGCCAGCAGCAAGCCCGGGGGACCCAAGACAGGCGGGGTGTCAGAAGGACAGAAGGGGGCTGCAAGCTGAGCAGGCCCAGGACAGCTGGAAGTCACCAGCTGTCGTGGGGAGCAGTGTGAATGTTCCAACCCCCCCCAAAGAGCCTTCCCAGCGACGCAGAACCTCGCCTCTTGCCTCTCTCATAGCAACCTTGTCTCCATGGGCTCTGCCGCTCCCTGACGGCTGAGCAGGGGAACCACAGGCGGGACCCGGGCACCTGACTGCCAGGTACATCCCGATTGTGCCACGCCCTGGCCGGTGCCCGTTCTCCTGCAGAACAAGGTGTGGGACTTGGGGAAACCCTGATGTTCACCAAACCAAACACCTCTGGCATCACAGAGCTGCCCCCCGGTTAAGGTGACCCTGCACGTGCGGCCAGGGCCAGCCTCGAGGCCAGGGTCTGAGTGCTGGAGGGAGTGGCCACACGCAGGGAGGCCTTGGGCCTCTGGCAGTGCTGTCCCTCCCCACCAGCACCTCCTGCCTGGATGACTGGCTGAGCCCGACCCGCACTGCAGTCTGCAGGACGCCGCTGTCCCGGGCTGTTGCCGTGAGGCTGCTCCATGAGACAGGGACACCTCCCCAGCGCTTCCGTCCTCTTACACGACAGCTCTGCTTTGCCCTTGCTGACACGGCACGCGTGTCTGTGCTGCTCCTCACCGTGCAGCGTGGCATGTAGACGTGACACAGAGGAGTGCAGATGCAGCAGCAGAGTGGCAACGTCAGGAGCTATTGCTGTGTGAGCTGCTGGTGAGTGAGGCAGGCAACGGCCGCGATGTGCAGACGGTGACCCAGCTGGAAGGAGGCAGTGTCAGGAGGGGTGCACTCACTCAGGACGTCTGGAATCCACTGTCACTGCCACCTTCCAAACTCACCAGCTCTGCAAGAGCTGGGGCCACCACGCTTGCTGAACAGGACCTGGGCCGCGCTCAGCTGGGGACACCTGTACCCGCTTCCTGCAGGTATGAAGACTGCGGCAGGCTTGCTGCCAGGTGATGCTGAGTGGCACCTAATTCAGTTACCTTCTAGCAAATGACTGTTCTAGAATTACAAAGGAAAACAGCCAGCGTGGTGGCGCACACCTGTGATCCCAGCACTCACGAAGCTGAGGCAGGAGGACTGTGAGTTTGAGGTCAGCCTGGCCTGCATGGGGAGACTCTCAGAAAACACTGGCCGACACCAGCAATCGCCAGAAACCTCAGCCGCTGCAGACGCAGGGGAGTGACAGAAACCAGGGGTCCTGAGGTAGGACAGGGCTGGGGACCAGTCCCCTGCTGAGGACGGGGCAGTTGGTGACAGAGTGGACAGCACTGAAACTCCAGGAAGGGAATTCAGGAAGCAGCAGCCCATGCCCACACCCTGCCCTCAGCTAGCTCACCCCGAGCCAGGCCTGCACGGGGCTGAGCCAGCAACTCCAAGAACAGAAGTGGATCTCAGAATGGAGAGGCACCGAGGCTGAATCTGCACTCTGATTTCAACCAGGTTAATTTCATAGGAAAACACAAAAAATTTGACGCTCTTCAAAGGAATGTAGTGACAGAATCCTGGTTCTCTGCAGCAGCGAAACAATCACCCACTGTGTCCAGGGTGCCATCTCTAATTACTCTATGTTTTCTGTTTTGTTTTCTGAGACAGGGTCTCACTATGTAGCCCAGGCTGGCCTTGAACTTACAGAGATCCTCTTGCCTCAGCCTCCCGAGTGCTGGGATGACAAGTGTGTGCCCCCATGCCCAGCTGCCACATTACCCTGTGTGAATGGTTCTCCCCTGGTGACAAGTTTGCAGGGCCTCAGGGCGTGGCACCAGCACTAAGAGGGCTAGAGCCCCGTTGCTTGGTGACCCTGTGTCCTTGCCGTGGGGGCTCAGTGCTGAGGGTTCCTGCCTTCCCCTGCGACTGCTTGTGTCCGGGGCAGTGCCCTGTGGTAGGGGTAGGGACAGCGCTCAGGTCCTGCAGCTGGAAGGGCGGCCGTCCAGGCTGGAGGCTGACTCAGACAGAGACGTGTCTGCTGGGGGGATCGCATTCGCCCTGAGTGACCAACCCTGGGCACGGGGCTAGCCCCAGACTGAGAGCTGAGACTCAGAGGCACCTGGCTGGGACCACGATGCAATCTCCCAGCCCCTCGCCACCAGCTTATGTCACTGTGAATGGGGCGACAGCCCACGGGAAAGGCAGGGGGCAGGGCGCTGTCCTGCTGTCCGGGGACCACACCATCCCACCTGTGTCTCCGTGCGGCTGCAGGGCCCTGGGATCGGACACTCAGTAGTTGGTGTAGGGAGCTGACCCAAGTGAACTCCCAAGAACATGAGTGGAGGGGATTAACTCAGGCCAAAATGGTGATGCAGAGGACAGAGGACGGGAGGGGCCCTTGCGGACCCTTCCCGCCCAGGCTGATCTGCACCTGAGGCCACATGACAACCAGGGCGGCACCTGGGGTGCAGAGCAGAGCTGGGCTGCTGACCTCATCCAGCTGTCGGCACCAAGGCTGCGCTGTCCCTGCGGGCGCTGGCTGTCCCTGGGAGGGCTCCACGGCCCCTGCGTCACCCACAGACCTCACTGTGTGCTCCCCACTTTGCTCTGCTGTGGGAGACGGCGCCAACGGAGAAAGAGGGCGAGGCAGATGCGCGGCGGGCAGAGATGAGCCAGCGTGCTCACTGCGTGTCCACCCGGCGCTAGGCAGCAGCAGCTGGGCAGCAGCAGCTCGGCGCAGTCCTTCTTGGACCCCACCTGCCTGGGGGAGGGACCCAGCTTCCAGCTGGTCGCAGTTGTTTTCTGTCCCTGTCTCGCACAGGCGGCTTTCTAGCCCGCTCGCTGCCGTACACCTGGTGAGCAGCGCGTCCTGGCCTGGTCTGTCCTGCTTGTCTCCTGCCTCTGTTCTCCTGCTGCAGACCACAAGGGTCCGGCCCCGTGACAAAGGCGCAGCCAGACTGTGGGCAGGCCTGAGGAGGGGCCGGACGTTAGCTGGGTGGACCTGAAGCCCTGGGGCATCAGTGGGTGGGGCCCCGTGCTTCCGGCCCGCATGCGCTTTGCTGTGTGGTCGGGCAGTGACTGCCAGCATCTGTCCAGGAGGACATCTGTCCTTTTCTGTCAGTGGACGTGAGTTCCTGTCGCTGAGTGCAGCCCACGCCCCTTGCTGCTCCCTCGCCTCCCCCGGCCTCCCCCCGCCTCCCCCGGGATCTTCAGGCCCAGAACCCGAGATCTTGATGAGGTGCAGTCACCATGGCCAAGCGCACATCTGCATTCACCTCCATTCACTCGAGGTGGGAGGTCGGAGTCTCCACCCATATGGTGAAAGTTTCATAATGGATTTTTGGTTTGGTTTTTGAGACAGGGTTTCACTATGTAGGCCAGGCTGGCCTTGAACTTGAAGCAACCCTCCTGCTTCAGCCTCCTGAGTGATAACAGATGTGCGCCACCACACCCAGATTGTAGTGGGTTTTTCAGTTAAGTCTTTGATCCTCATGGAAGTGATTTTCAGAAGCATGGTGTGAGGTAGGCTCTCAAGGGCCCTCCCCTCCATCTGGCACCTCGCCATGTCCCAGCCATCAGCATGGACAGGGCTCTGCTCCCTCCCACACGGTCTGCTTCTGGTCCCGTTCTGCTGCCTGCATTTGGGCTTCTCTTGCCCCTCGGGAGCGTGTTTCCCAACCTGCTCTTAAGAAGGTCTCGGCTCCCCCTGGCCCTTATTTTATTCTTTTAGTTTTTTGTACTGGGGATTGAACCAGGGCCATCACACTAAGCTGCATCCTCAGCCCTTTTTAAAACTTTCAAGACAGGGTCACTAGGTCAGTGAGTTGACCATTCTGGATTTGAATTTACGATCCTCCTGCCTCAGCCTCCCGAGTGCTGGGATTATAGTTCGCACCGCTGTTCCTAGCCAGCTATGCAGACTTCTGTGATGTGTTGGGGTGCATCCTGTGGGTCCTCATGGTTCCATCCAAGCTGCCCAGCGCCTGCAGTCAGCACTGAGGCCCTCTTGTGGGCTCAGGGCACCTGGTCTAGCTGCTCCGGCCTGGCTGCCGACTCCTGCGCACGTGGAAACACGTGGTGGGGGCGTCACCGTGGGGACAGCAGGGCCCCCAACCCGCCTCACCCCTGCAGAGGGCACCCTGGGCGCTGGCGATCCTGCTCCCGGGGGTCTGGCGCTGGGGAGAGCCGTCCAGTGCCCTCAGTGCAACCGTGTCCGAGATTTCCCCGAGCGCTCAGTGAGACCCGCGGGAGGCCTGAGCCCGAGGGAGTGCAAAGCAGCCCCCCAGGAGTGTGCTTGCTCCTCGGCAGGAACCATCCTCCAGGGGGCATGGGCCGACGGGCCCCTGCTCCGGGCCTGTGTGGTCAGCGCCCGTAGCCCGGTCCTGCGGTGCGGTGCGGTGGCCGCCCAGGGCAGCTGGCAGGTGGCTGGGCCTCCCTGTCCCCACGGCCGGGGGGCTGCAGTTGGTCCGAGGTGGCAGTGGCAGGGGCCCACTGAGCTCACTCCGGTCACGCCCCGCCCACTCAGTAACACCTCCCGCTCGCTCTGCTGCCCCCTGCCGGCCGCGCAGGCGGCGTTGCAGGCTCCTCCCCAGCCCCCAGCCCCCAGCCCCCGGGGCAGCCTGCGTCCACGCCGAGCCGCTGGCCGTGCAGGCCATGCCCTGCAGGACGCCAGGCTGCGCGGCCCTGCTCTGCGCTGAGTCTTCCTGCACGAGCAGGGGACGCCTCGGGAAAGGGTTTTTAGTGATGCCTGCACATCGCCAGGGTGAGTCTCACGTACATCTGTTTACAGAGGGCTTTGTTTCAGTGTTTCCTAAAATACAATTCCCATATTTACACACGCACACCACTTGTGTGGCTTCCCCTTTTGCTCTCGGGTCCTGTAGGGTGCGAGGTTCAGGTGACCTGCCCAGGACGGGACAGCCTGCGGTCACCACTCCCAGCCAGCCGGGTCTGCTCATCCTCAGTGCGGCCCCTTGGCAGCGCCACGAGGGGCAGGGGCGCGACAGGCACAGAGCCCGCTTCTGGGCCTTGCCTTCAGGGTGTCCCTGCTCCTCCCCAAGGGTGTCGGCCTGACGCCAGGCACTCCAGCCCCGCGACAGGGACTCAGCTCTTTCCCACCTGAGATCCCCAGCTCCGAGGGCCTGTTGCGCCCTGTCCCGGCCTGGATGAGTGAGGCCTTGTGGCCACAGCCTGCCTGGGAGCCCTGGGGTCCTGCTGCTTTCCAGGGGGTGCTTTTCAGGCTGAGAGTGGGAAGGATGGAACCCAGGAGCTTCTTACCCAGTCGGGAGCAGATTTCAGCTGCAGGCCGACGCAGGCCCAGAGTCAGCACCAGCAGGGGATGCCGCCCCTCTGACCCGCCATCCCGCTGTCCTCAACCTGGGCCCGGACCAGGTTGCCACATTGCCCGCTGCCCCTGCGGGCCCCAAGCAGGGCTCTTGTGACACAAGGGAGCCTAGTCCCAGGGTGGCTCCCTCCAGGCCTGAAGGGACAGGAATCCTTCTATGTCATGGGCGTCCTGGAGGACAGGCCTCATCCACTGCCCCTCAGCAGTCATTGCTCCATGGCCAGGAGACCAAAGGGCAGGGCGTGCAGTCATGCTAGGCATCCCTGCTCTACAAGGTTGTGAGAGTCAGGTGAGTGAGCTCGGTGCAGCCCCAACAAGCTGTGTGCACATAAAGGTGCCAAGGCACAGCAGGCACAGCTGTCTCCCTGTCCCCAAGGAGGAGCTTTCCTCAGGCTGTGCACCTGGCACCTGGCGCCGCGGGGTCCTCCCAGGCCTCGCACACTGCCAGTGAGTGTCCCCGCTGACATCTGTGCCGGTGCCCAGTCCCAGGCTGACAGACGCCGCCCCTGGGCCAGCGACACTCTGAGCACTCTCACGGGGCCACAGGACACGAGTGCAGACAGGATCTCCCTGCCTTGCTCTCCCCCAGACTTCATGCGGCCACTTACTCCAGTGAGCTCGATGCTGTCCCCCAAATTCACGGCCCCCACAGCCCACTGGCCTTCTTGGAAGGAAGGTTCTGCAGTGTCACGGGGCTCGGCCCAGGGGCCCGGCCCCACCTTCCCCGAGCCCCAGGCCAGCCCCTCTGCAGGCTGTCACCACGAGGCCCCACCTTGTCCAGCCTGAGAAACACCCGCGCCCCATGCACCCGCCACTCAGTCCTGTGCCAACCCTGCTGCCAGGCAGTTTCCTCCCTTTCCAGGGAAGTCACACACATTGGCCTTCGCACATCCAGCTGCAGTGCTGCAGGGGAGCCGTCCCGCCATCGGCCAGACCCCAGACCCCCGGCCGTTGGCAGACTACCAGGGCCTCGCCGGGCCCCTGCGTCTCCTGTGCATGGCCATGGGGCCCAGGAGCCTCCAGCTCTTCTGTCTTCGGCTCAAGTGACCACAGAAGCCAGCACCGGGGCCTCACCATCCTCCGCTCCTGCTTCCCAGCCACAGGGCAGCCGGACGGGCCGGGAGCGGGGGTGGCAGAGACACCATGGGGACCGAGGTGGGGGCGCCTCCAGGAAGGCAACGTGGGAGAGACAGGAGGAAGAGGGGGACAGTGACCGCCTGGGAGGGGCCCCAGAAGCCGGCTCCCCTGGACTGCCCAACTAGACCCCGGCGCTGGCTCCTCAAAAGCCCAGGGCAGCTGCTTACTGTGGCTGAGTTCTGTCCCCAGAACAGGTGCGGAAACCCAAGCCCTCATACCTGTGACTGCGACCTGGCTGCAAACAGGCCGCGCCGCAGCTTTCCCCGTGCTGCACCCCGTGGCACACACCGTGCCTGACGTGGACGCAGGGAGGCCAGTTCAGGAGGGGCCCCCAGAGCAAGGCCACACGCAGCCCGAGACCTCGCGGCAAGTGCCGAGCCAAGTCGAGGCGCAATGAAGGCAGAGCACTGCGAGGGGCACATCCACTCCTCTCTGCACTCCTGCCGAGGGCTGCAGTTTTCAGTTCAGGTTTGGAGATGGAAACCAGGCCCTTCCGCACGGAGCCCCCAAGGTGTTTTTGACGAAGTCCCAAGCCGGAATGACGCAGAAAAGAACATTTATGGCGTGGATTGCCAGCTCTGGTCCCATGCAGATAAGAGAGCCACGGCCACCCCGGGTCAGGCCCAGGAGTGTCCTCCCCAGATGGTGCCAAGCATTTGCCAGCAGCGTCTGTAACCCGGCTTGGGACCCGGCCCCACTGCGGCGTGGGCCCCGGGGAGAGCAGGAGCCCAGGCTGGTTTGCTGGACACTTTCCTCACGGGGTGGCGCTGCCTCCACCCCCACCGCCAGTCCTGGAGGCTCCGGGCAGTGGGCTGGTGGAGCGGCAGCATCACACCAGCCGCTCTGCGCTGTGCGTGCTGTGCCTCGCGCGTCTGTGAGCCGCAGGGTGCGTGTTTTCTGCGTGTGTTGTGCATTTCATGTCTCCTGGGTTGGGGTGGCGTGGGTGTGCACCATCAGGGCAGGACACTCCAGGCACAAAGGTGGGCGGTCAGGAGGCTTTCAGAAGGTCCGGCAGGGATCTTGTCTCTGCCACCAGTTACCACTTCCTCCTCTCAGAGACGGGCAGCTCACCCCTGGGCAGAGGGCGGAGGTGGAGGTTTTTAATCACCCGTGGTTGACAGTCCTGAGCGTCCAGTAGCCCTGGGTCGCTCTGCGTGGTGGGAGGAGCCTGCAGGCGCCTTTGTCACTGGGGCACTGTCCCGGGGCCGGTTGTGGCCACATGGGGAAAAAGGACAGTTTTGGGAGCGGCGCGGAGGCGCCTCTGCAGGACCTTCCTGCACTCAGCTCACACCGCCAGCGGGGGGTCCTGGTCACGCCGGATGAGGCTTTGGTGTCAGGGCAGTGGCTCAGAACTCTGCCTCCCGGTCCTACCTGGGCAGCTACTGAAAAGCTCTGGCGTCGCTGCACGTGATGGTGCCTGTCTATAATCCAAGTGGGAGGCTGAGGCAGGAAGATTGTGAGTTAGAGCCAGCATCTGCAATTCAACGACTTGGCGAGAGCCTGTTTCAAAACAAAAGTCAAAAAAGTTCTGGCGCTCAGTCTGCACCTCGCCCCACCCCACTTAAACGGGAACTTCCGGGTGGGGGCCGGGTGGAGGTGCGCAGTCCGCCCTGCGCTGGCGGCCCGGGAGTCACCGCCTGCACAGCACCAGGCCCTGGACCCGGGAAGCTGCGCGGCGCCTCCCTCCCCCAGCCATCTCCGGCGGGGACCAAGGCGGGGACCAAAAGCGCTCCCCCAAACGCTCACCTTCGGAGGTGAGGCTGGGAGCAGGCAGGCGCTGCAGCGGAGCCTGAGGGCTGCGTTCCCACCCCCTCCCTCTCTCCACGCTTCCGGCCCTCTCCGCTTCCGGCCCTCTCTGCTTCCGCTTCCGGCTACCCGCAGCCAAGCCGCCCTCCGCCGGGCCTTTCCTCTTCGCGGCGAGGCTTCTTCCTGTGAGCCCGCGAGCCAGGACAGAGCTTTTCTTCCTTGAGTGTTGAGAATTTTGTCTGGTAGTGGGAAAGTGACTGTACCGGGGAAGGAGCGAGGAATCCGGCTTTTCATATAGTTTGTTTTGGAATTGTGGTTAATGACTTATATACTCAAGAAAAAAAATCAAATAATCAAGAAGGAGCCACTATTCTAAGTTGAATATAACCAGAAACAAATTCTGCCGTGTTTCTTTTTTTTTCTTTCTTTTTTTTTTTTGGTACCGGCATCGAACTTGGGAGCATGCGCTTTCGAGGCAGGTGGTGGCACCACTGAGCTAAATCCCTGGCCCTCTGCTGTGTTTCTATTTGCCTCTGGCGGATGGGCTCGCAGTGGGCAGGAGGGGAGGAAGGGGCACCGGGCACAGCCCTGTGGAGCTCAGCGCCCAACCGCCCGCAGATTCCAGAGCCCTGAAGCTGGAGTCGTCCCAGACCTGGTCCTCACAGCCAGTCAGGAAGGAGCGATCTCCAGAGGAGGAGACACTGACCTAATGCCCAGCTTGGGGCCATCGTTCTCCTATGGGGGCCGCAGCTCCCGGGGCCAGGGTGCTCATGGCACAGGGAGGGTGGGGGCCCCACTTTCCATCTGCAGAGGAGTCGGGGGCCTGCAGGCCTGGTGCGCAGGGCAGCTGGCAGCCAGGTGGTTTCCCAGCCTTGCCCTGCGTCCAGCTGTGCCCCTGGCTGGGCTCACAGCTCAGCCTCGGTCATTGAGCCAGTGAAGCTGAGGCCTCGTGGCTCTGGCTCTGTGAGTAAGTCAGTATATTTTTCAGACTGTTTCTCTATGGAAAAACTCCTGCTCCAAGCAGTATTCTGCCCTCACCCTGAGGCGAGAGCAGTCCCTCGGGCAGCATTAGCGTTTGCGGCTCTGCTCAGAACTGTCCAACCACGGGAGAGCTGGCCCTGATGTCTTGTCTGGTGTCTCCATCTTTGTCCATGGTAACGCCGTGGCAGGGAGCACAAATCACTGATGCACACCCTGAAAGGTGATGGAAAGCGGGCACACTTGGGCCTCATCCCGGCCCAGGACCCACACCCCTGGAGTCCCGTGCTCCCCACAAGCCACTAGCTCCCGCTCTCAAGGGAACAGCAAGGACTCATTGCTGCAGAGCGGGGAAACAAGGAAGTACCAGATGGGTTTTCCAGTGACTTTACCGAATATCCAGGGAACAGATAAGCCGCCAGCACAGGCTGTTCCAGAGCACAAGTGCCCAGTCATTTCATAAAACCTCACAGAAGCCCAAAGAGGGACCCTCCCCACGTATACCACACGCGTGTACACATGCACGTGCACACTGCCTCCTTGTGAGTACAGATTGAGTGATCCAAGTATCAGACTGGCAGAAGGACTCTGCTAAGTGGAAGCCGCTCACAGGCAGCAACTTTATTGCAGGAACTCGGGAATTCACAGGGAAGCCATTGGCTCCACTCACAACACCTTACACCGAGGACCAAGTTGTGGCCCCGGATGAAATTCAACTGATTTCCTCATTACAGAGTTGATGTAATAGAAATACAGAGGAACCTGAGCAATGTAAGGTAGGGCATTTTCCAGAAGCAACAACAAGCAGGGTCTTGCAAGGTGAGGCACTGGAGGCGTTGAGGGGAGAATGGGCTTAGAAATCCAAGGCTCCCTGATTGTGCTTCAGACCCCACCCCCCAGCACAGACAGAGCTAGAAAACAGCCGAGAGTCCTGCCAAGGCTCTGCCAGGCTGTCAGTGGTGCCAGGTTGTGCAGCTGCCTGGCTAGAAAATTTAAAAGCCTTAATTAAAGAAGTAGAGTGACAGAATTCAGCAAAATGACTAAATACAAGATGAGTTTAAACTGTGTTCTGATTCACATCTCCATGTCCCCATAGGTGGGGCACATGGAAGGGACTGGATCAAGGGCCATGAGGAGGTGGGCTCTGGTCAGGAGAGGCGCTCACTGGGGCGCAGCCCGGAAGCTCCCTCCCAGCTCCTAACTCTGCTTCCTGCCCTCCATGCCCTGAGCAGCTCTGCTCCGCCAGGCCCCTGCCGGGCCAGTTCTTCTATCTGAGCCTGCTTAAACTGGACTGAAACTTGTAAAACGTGAACCCAAACAAACCGTTCCTCCTTTAAGTTGTAGATGTTGGGTATTTGGTCCCGGAAGGGAGGATAGTGACTAAGACAGTATCTCAGTGTAGTGTATTGTCAAACAATAGAGGTAAGGGATATCACATTATTTGGCCCTTAAGATATTTTTATGAAGATTACATGCAGACCATGATGATAGCTCTGCTAAAGCAATGCATACAGTAAAAATGTGGTCGGCTCACTTTCAAAATCACGGAGCAAGGGAGAAGAAATCCCTTCTCCAACAGAGGGCAAATCTGTCATATTTTAAAGCTCTGGAAATCATCAAAAGTCATACATTAAAGTGTATAGAAATGAAAGTAAGTATGTCAGCATTTGTGGGAAATTGCTATGCTAAAAGAGAAAAAATGAACACCATTTAATGCATGCATTCAAAAGGAAGAAACGGCCAGAGATTTAGCTCAGTGGCACTGCAACTGCCTCTCAAGCACAAGGTCCTGAGTTTGATCCCCAGGACAAAAAAAAAGAAAAAAAAAGAGCAAAAGGAAGAAACAACTTAAATCAAGTATTTAAACTACCACTTCAAGAACCTAGGAAAAAAAGAAAATTAAACTCAAGTAGAAAGAACAAAATAATGAAGATGAGAAATCAATGAAATTGAAAATAGAAAGACAATACATACAATCATTGAGAGGAGAGCTTGTTCTTTGGAAAGATCAATACGACTGACAGATTTCCAGCAAGGCGGACCTGGGGAGATGAAGCCCAGGTGATCAGTACTGGGAATAAAGCACACGTCGTTGGAGACATCAAAGAAAATGGCAGAAATCCATGAGCACATCACATCTGTACATCTGGCAGCCGTGAGGAGGGGTCAGTGCATCCGAAGATGCGCACTGCCTCAGTTCCCACCATTTATAGCTTTAATAGTCCTGCAATGATAAGGGAATTGAGCTGCCTATTTAACCAACGTCAAAGGAGCCCCAGGTCCAGACGGCTTCCCTGGCTAATTCTACCCAGTGTTTCAACAGGAGTAACTCAGGCCAGGAATTTAGCTCAATGGTGCCACGCCTGCCTCACAAATGCAAGGTCCTAGGTTGGATCCCTGGTCCTGGAAAAAAAAAAGGAATAACAAATTCAACACAGTCATTTCCAGAAAATACAAGGGCAGGAACTACTCTCCCCAGCCTGTCCTAGAATGACAGTATTATCCAGATACTGACGTGAAACCAGATACGCTAGGAAGGGGCACTGAGCAACCCTCACCACAGGCACGGGGAGCTCCCGCAGGCCGGCAGACCACACCCTGAGCCACACAGAAGTGACAAGCGCAACCTGATGCCACCCATGTGGGATTGCAGCTCAGATGCCCCGAAAGGCAGCTCTCCCCGTCCATTCCATGAGCAGAAGAAAACAAAACCACATCATTATCATCTCCATAGCTAGAGGAAACCTGCTTTTGGGCCAAATTTTAAAACTTCAACTGCAGCCACTGGAGCCACCTGGGCCGCTCTGCGGCTGGCCCTGTGCGCAAAGGCTGCGAATGGGAGCCCCTCAGTGGTTCTAGGCCTGCGTGTCTGGCTGCCCAGCGGATGTCTGAGGACCTGACTCCTGCTGCCCCAGCCCAGGCTCCAGATGGGCGTGCGGGCCCCAGGCCACAGTGCAGGGTTCCCACTGGACGGCCGTCGTGTCCCTCCGCACCAAGCTGCAGGACGAGACATGTGCTCCAGGCCCCATGAAGGGCCAGCTTCAAGCTTCCCCAGACCACCTCTCTCAGAAGTGGGGCTTTGCCAAGCCCAGTGCAAATGATTCTGAAGACGGTGGCTGAGAAGCGCCTCCTCCCTGAGGCTGCGGGGTGAAATGCAGGGTTGGGGGGGTCGGGGTCCCTCGGCCGATGGGGACCTTGCACTCCTGAAGGCTTCTACTGTGCTGCTCCCCATAACAAGTTCATCAGTAAATCTTACCTCTGCTTCCCCCCTCATTTAAAAAAAATGTACACTATTCAAGATGTAGGGCTGAAGGCACAGCCTAGAAGTGGCGTGCTTGCATCGAATGCATGAGGCTGAGGCAGAAGGATCCCAAACTCAAGGCCCTCCCTCTCCATCTCTGGGTCCTCTGCCCATGGCACCTCCCTGCTTCCCATTGTCTATCTTTTACTTTGCTCTCCTTGCACTTTGGTGAACCTCTGTCTTTATGGCAGAACCACACCCTTCCACCTCAAGTAGTTTTGTGGTAAGTTCTGAAGTCAGAAGTATGAACCCTGCCTCTTTGTTCTTTCTGCAGACTGTTTTGTTGTTGTTGTTGTTGTTGTTTTTGGTACCGGGGATCAAACTCGGGTCCTTATGCTTGTGCAGCAGGCGGCGAAACCACTGAGCTAAATCCCCAGTCCTGCGGACTGTTTTGACATGAGGCTTCGTATGAATTTTCAGATAGTTTTCCATTTCTGCAAAGGCGACTGGGGTTTGGTGGGGTTTCTGACCCAGGTGAGGCCCACCCGTCCCGCCTGTGTGGCTTCTTCTCCCTCACTGGCAAAGGTGCCTTGCAGCCCGGGAGAGGGGTTCAGTGACCTTCAACCCCTCCTGCTGCCCAGTGCGGACATCGCGCGCCTTCTCGGCTCAGCACTGACAGCATCAGGTGCCGATTTCCTTCGTGTATTGCTCAGCTCCTGCTTTATTCTGACTTGGTCCTACCTGTGTGGCACTGGAATCACTGCCTGTCTTGCTGGAACGGGGGCACGTGGCTCCCTCCCTCCCTCCCCCCTGAGTCTCGGGCTGTGCTCCAGCCCCCGGGTCCCCACAGTGTCCTTCCAGCAAGGGACCCAGTCCAGGAGCCCATGGGGCTTCCAGCTACTGGTCTCTAAAGTCCCTAGGACAGCCTCCGGCTTCCTGTTCACACCTGGATTTGTGTTTTCTGGAATTTTTGAGATAAGGTCTCACTATGGAGCCCAGGCTGGCTTCAAACTCACACCAATCCTCCTGCCTCAGCCTCTGGAGTGCTGGGGTTATGTACGGCATGCACCACCTCGCCTGGCCTCTGACCTGGGTACTCTGGTGTCACCGGTAGCTCACGCTGTCCTTGGTGCTGTCCTTTGGTCTTGGCAGTGTGGAATGCCCTGCAGGATGGGCAGGTGGTGGATGTTTCTCAGTTCACATTCCTCCAGGCTGTGTCTGCTTCAGCCTCCCCATGAGCTGGCGGGTCCCACCCCACGTGCTGTCCTGAGCCTTCAGGTGGAAATGGGGCCACCTCCTGGGCTGCCTTTCTGGGCCACCCCCGGTCCACTGTTTATGAAAGGAGATGTGAGCTCCAGTGAGAGGGGTGCAGGTGGCCGGCGTGGTCTCAGCTGCCTGGCCACACGATTTCTCAGAGAGGCAGCCCCAGGGAGGCTCGTCTCCTTTTCTTTGCTT